GAAAAGAAAAAGCTGTAAGCAGTACACAGGTAGTTAGCAACTCACTGGTGGACCCAAATTGTGAGCCACAAATTGCACTACCAAAATCTGAAGGTAAGAGTGAAACTCATCCTGGCGTGACTGAGAAGAAATATCTAATAACATCGGATATTATTGTGAACAAATTGCGGGAGTCAAACGACCCTGATCCGAAAATTAGACACGCGCATGACTTAGAAAAGCTAGGAGAATACATTCGTAGTATTTTACCAGATCACTCCAAAGGAGTTCAGGTCAAAAAATTGGTAAGAATAGGCAAGAGGACCGAGGACAATGTTGAACCCCGTCCATGCATACTCCTTAAGGTAATCCTAGGATCGGAGAAGCAACGGGATCTCTTGTTAAATAGCGCTCGTTATCACGACAATTCTGACATCCAAATTAGACCTGACATGTCTCTCAAAGATAGAATAAAAAGGAAGAAAGCACTAGCTGAACTTGAAACCCGTCGGCAAAACGGCGAGGAAAATCTCCGACTAGTGGGTTTTCGGATAGTCAGGTCTTGGAAGCGAATGCTACCAAGGCCTGTGTGGATAGGCTGTTCTACTTAGGAGTTTTATATGCCAACGCTCGTAGTTTACGAAATAAGTTCTATGAAATAGAAGCACTAGTAGACAGGTTAAAGCCACTCATAGTGGCAGTGACAGAAACTTGGTTAGTCCATGACTTAGACATTACTCCAGAATTATCCGGATACCATTGCATCAGGAGTGATAGACATAGATGTAGAAAAGGAGGCGGCGTCCTGTTATTTATAGCCAACATTTTGTTTAATTACGGCTCCTTATGGTTTAGTGGGATGTCACGGACTTATGGTATTGAAGCTGATTTATCACGCAAAATACCTTGTAGCGGTAAATAAATCCCCAAAATAAATAGCACTAAGTTTTCGACATTGGATGCTGACCATATGTTTTAGTGGACTCACCTAGCTGAAGGCGCTCGGTCAGGCATCCGCACCAGATCACGTGTGGTAACGCCGTGCTCAAGATCAACCGCAATCGCTAGCCAGATTAGATCAGAGAATTCCGATATATTGGTCATCGCCAAATATACTCTTCTGATCTCCTTGACTCTGTCTTTTGATTTCTCTGGGCGGGAACGAAATATATTAGAAGGTGTTACTGGTAGAAGCGTTGTCAAACACTGAATACCAGTGACATCATCAACCTCTTTGAATCGTGTTACGAACGTTGAATTGGTTTCACTTCCTACTCAGAAATCCTATTACAAGCAAACTAGACAATTCGTTAATATACGAAGCCTACTCAAGACCCTATAAAACCTGAAAAAAACAAGTAAAAAAAACGAGAGGGGCTCCAATAGCTTCGATAATAAAGGGAAGATAGCCAGTTGTATATCACAATACCGTTTCTAGCACTATATTTTATTTTATAATCACACATAATCTTATACTCTCAGCTCTTTTCCGAATCGCCTCCATTTGTCAGTTGTATGTCCACTCACACCTTGCTAAAGCTTATTTTCTTTAACCTATTAAAATGCTCTTTCTTAACAAATACCTTAATAAAGGAAAATTAGACTGAGTAATCATACCTTAAACATTCCTTCATGAATATTGGCTACTCTGCCCCTCGTGTTTTCTTTCACTTGCTCCCTCTTTCAGCCCCCTTGAGATATGGAACAGGTTACTTCATCCTGCACCATCCTTAAAGCCTTGGATATCCCAAAGGGACATAAGGTTGCGATTTCTAGAAGCTCATACCTTCAATGGACCTATTCTTGACCATCAGTCGCACATTCGCAATGCAACTCTCGTGAAGCGCGCCAACTGTAGTACTGATTAGAACAATCTACATTCATGTCTTATAAATTTTCAACCCAGCTATGTAATTTAATACAGTGTATACTGTATCATTTGTATCAATTTGATCTTGCCTGTAAACTGGCATGCCTCATGTAACAAACTGTTATTTGAGAATAAATTATTATTATTATTATTATTATATCCGCTCCTCTACTAGCGAATCCCATGATAGCGGCACTTGTGAAGTCATTAGCTGTAAGTTGGCAATAGGATGTAGTACATTTATGCTAGGTGTCATCTATGGGAGCGCAATCTGCTTAGCTGATGACTTTGTTATAGAGCACATTCATCTTTGGAGTGATAACACCAGGTGCTTGATAATAGGAGACTTTAACGCACCTGATATTAGTTGGACTGATATGACCACAGAAGGATCTATAAACTCCTTTGATAGTAGGTTACTGATAACAATAATGGAGCATGCACTAGTGCAGCATGTATCTCAACCCACACGTTTTGGTGTTAACCAGGGTTCTTCTCTGCTGGATTTGGTAATCACTCATGAGGCTGAGGATATTGTCGACATAAATATTCTTCCACCGTTGGTAAACAGCGATCACGCTGTTTTGTCATTCGCGTTTAGAACTAGGGACATGTTATACGATCAGGTTACACCGCGCCCAAATGTATGGAAAGCTAACATATCAGCCATTCAGGAATGTGCTGCTAAGGCAGATTGGTTAGTAGATACTAGCATATCAGTTGAAGAAGCATGGTCTGTATTTAAAGGTAAATTTAGACTAGTTACGTCCCCGTTCATACCATACCTGGTGCCACGAAGACCGAATAATAGTCCACCATGGATAACTAAAACGGTCAGGAAACTCCTTAGAAAAAGGAAGAATCACTGGAATATGTTCATCTCGACTGGCTTAGAACAATACAGATCCAGTTGTAGAATTATGGTCTACTATGATATTAGCGCTGCTCTTATAATAAACCTAATCCTAAACTTGTCGATTTGTCATGATATAACTGCCTAATCTATTAGATCTTACGTGGAAGTCACACCATCGACTACACCAACTCACTGTATCGTATCAATTACCAATACATGATGAGGAACAAGGTTAGGCTAGAGAAAGAACAATATATTTAATATGAATAGAAGATATAAAGTAACACTGTGATGGACCACGTCTGCATGGACGAGCCATGCCACTCAATCAACTCCAGTCCATTCAATTCATTCTCCGCGCCTTCTCCATTGTTAGGTATTTCCCCGAGTTAAATATTGAATATCTATTTTCTGAGTAGTCTCGTGTTTACAGCTTTGTGGATTGTGTGGCTATTGTCCAATGCCACTACACAGTTATTGTTAGATTAGGAATGCCTGTGAAGCGTTAAAAAGCAAGACTAGACATTCATACGAAAAACAATTGGTTAGGGATTCTAGATATAGTCCGAAACGGTTATTCTCGTATATAAAAAGGCGAACTAAGAGAAGCGATGGAATTCCATCACTTTTGATATGAGACAATCCGTTAATCTTAGAAGAGAATGATGCCGAAAAAGCTGAAGCTTTATCGGAATATTTTAGTAAAGTGTTTCCTATCAGTAATGAGGAACGACCAATGATTCATCGTGACCGTGACGGCTCGCTGATGGATCCTGTAGTCATTGAGAAAGATACTGTTTTAAGGCTACTTCGGCATCTCAAACCTGATAAGTCCAGTGGTCCCGATGATATTCATCCTAGGATTATGAAAGCCATATCAGATGAAATTGCTTAACCATTAGCGATACTATTCGACATGTCTCTAAGACAGTCCAGACTTCCTAGAGACTGGAAAGACGCCACAATAAGTCCGGTGTATAAGGCTGTGAGTAGGGATTTAGTTAGTAACTATAGACCCGTTAGCTTAACTAGTGCAGTTGTGAAACTGATGGAGAAAATCATTCGGATAGATGTTATAAACTATGTTGAAGGGCAAAATCTTTTCTCCAGGGCACAACATGGTTTTCGGAAAGGCCTATCTTGCTTGACAAATCTTCTCATTGCACGAGAAGAGTGGGCTGCGGCAAAGGATCGGAATGCTCCTGTGGATGTAATTTTCATAGATCTAAGTAAAGCCTTTGATAAGGTTTCACACTCTGGTCTTAAATTCAAAGTGAAACGTTTTGGAATCCATAACGCAGCCGTCGATTGGATAAGTAACTTTCTCCATGACAGGAGACAAAGGGTAAGGAATAATGGGGCTCTCTCCTCGAGGGTACCTGTAAAAAGTGGGGTTCCCCAAGGCACAATCCTAGGTCCTCTTCTCTTTTTACTTTATGTAAATGAATTGCCAACGGTAGCAAAATCATCCGTTCTACTCTTCGCTGATGACATAAAGATTTGGAGACCCATACATAGTATGTCGGATAGAATAGTAATACAGGACGATCTTAGCTCATTGGTGGCATGGTTAGACAGGTGGTCACTAGAAGTAAATCCTAATAAGAGTGTAGTGATGCAGTTAAATAACTCTGATGAATCGTATGACTATACACTACGTGGATTCGTGCTACCCAAAGCAAGAAACTATAAAGACTTAGGAGTTATATTAAGCAATGATCCTAAAACGACTAGTCACTGTAAGGCTGCTGCTGCAAAAGGCTATAGGGTATTATGGTCAATTCGTAGGTCTTTTCAGTATTTAGATGACGAAATGTTTGGATTACTATACCCGATTTATGTGCGACCACATTTAGAATACGGGATTCAAGCAGCGAGTCCTTGTTTCAAATATGAAGCAGATATGCTAGAAAGAGTCCAATGACGAGCTACTAAGATGATACAAGGTCTAGCTGGCCTATCTTATGAAGACAGACTGAGACACCTTAACTTATTTCCGTTATCTTACCGTAGAGTACGGGGTGATCTAATATTGGCTTATCGTATACTGAACGATGACCTTGGTATTAGCATGTCTTATCTTTTGCTTCCGTCTAGAACCGATCATTTGAGAGGACATTCGAAGAAAGTTCAAAAACCGAGATCAAACTGTTTACGTCTGGAGTTCCGTTTCTCGCACCGAGTAGTGAATTACTGGAATTCCCTTCCGGAACACGTAATATCAGCACCGTCTGTTAATATATTCAAAACGAGATTGGACCTCCACAGTATTACAAACTGCAAGGATTAATATATGTCGACAGACCTCCTATCCTTATTACTGAAGACTGAAGACTGAAGACATATTTGACTGTATGCGTTACGCAAGTGGGTTCATTATATTGTCTGTCGAATTACTTGCTTCTGAGTGTTATGTATATAACAACAACTAATATTAGTTGTTGTTTTTAAGCACCAATTTTATGCTCAGTGTTTTGTGGGAACAATACGAATATTCGATCTGCTATCAATAATTCTGAGTGATTATATAACTCTATTGTATTATAGGCTATGTGGTGTGAGCACTAGTATAAATCTTCTTCAACTTCCTGAGGATTCGTTTGCTTAACTGGTTTATATTATGCTGATATTTTATCCTACATTTTGCCTAATTGATGAATTCTATTTAGATGAAACTAATAATTCGGCGCTGTGATGAACCATCTGCTTGATTTCATCTCGGTTCTTTGGTTTCTAAATACCACACTTCTATGACTGTACGTGAACCTAGTTGACGAGATTTTGTTTTCAGGCGAAGAAAAATAGGCATGTACTAAATTGGACTCCTGAAGATGTTGTCAAATGGTTACATAAATATGCCAGTCCAGTCGGTGCAAAATACTCTGAACTGTTTGAAACAAACAGGATTAATGGTAACTATTTCGTCTAGCGCTGACATTTCTTTCTTTGAGGGATGTGTTTACGTCTGATGACGGATGAGTGGCTACTTCGATTAGGAGTAGTCAATCAAAACGATAGGTACCTCTACATTTTTAATTACTAGTGACTGTTTACTTTTCTTTTACTAGGTCAGCTCTTATGAGTCATATATATCGGATGCGTCTAAAGTACGATTCTTCAGATTTGTCGGATATGCTTAAAAACAACTAACATTTGTACTTTGAGTAAATAAACATTTCATTGAGAAAGCGTTTTTTTTTTGCTTTCGTTTTCTTTCAACAAGCAACATATTTTGTTTACTTTTTAAGATGGCTTCAGGTGCTGCAAGTCGAACAGCTCCTATTTTTCAGTTGGGTAAATGTCTTGCCGTTCCGATGCAGTTGCATGTAGCCAATCGTCAGCGTCTTTGCAATCGCATTCGGGACAAAATATCTTCGCTTGATACTAGCAAATCTCTCACGCACAACCTTTCTGGTGTGTTTGTTGTGCTACAGGGTGGCACTGATACCTTTCTGGGAGATTCGGATGCTGCCAATGTATTTCGTCAGGTAGGTCCATTTCATATGATTTTTAGAGATGCATGCGTAGGATTTGTGACAGACATTTATTCTCATAATCCCACATATTTCATCTAATTTTGGGCATGGAATGATTATAATGTTTTTCCTGCTCAGAGCACAATCTGTTTTGCTTCAATGAAAATTGACAATTCAGGTACACTTATTACCACGTGGTTATTATGATTACGAAGTTAACCATAACTAAGGACTGTACATGTATGTAGAGTAGTTATTGTGTTCATGATTTTATAAGCTATTGATTTATGTGCTATTGCATAGTCTAAGAGTTTAGTGGTTAAAGTATTCGACTTTCAGTCACTAAATCACAGGTTCGAGTTCCACCTCAACCACTACGGTGGATAGAGCAAAGTACTATTTTACAACTAATTATCTAGAAGTTATGTAGGTATATTTACTGTATAACTAGCTGTCAAATATCCTCAAAATGATAGAAATTAGTACATCGACATTTATAAGTAAAAGTGTGGGTAGACACAAATTTATATATGTATATACTGATCTGTAATTAGACTAAGACTTAGTTAACAGACCCTATACACTGGTATATTATTCTGAAGGAATATTAATTCTTCGTTAGACTCAAAGCAATTACTTTGAAATAATTGATTTCATTCTCTATCAGTAAAAGTAAAGGGCTAGCGTAATGAGTACATTTTCTTTCCAAGTCTTCTCGTCAGTTATTTGTCCTTTATTTAGGACTGTTGGTTTTGGTTTGGAATAAAGAATGAAATCACTACTATTATCAAGATACATGTCTGTCAGCGGCGTCAATTTCAAACTAGACATTTTATCTGAAGTAAAATGGAAACCTTGTTAATAACCAATTTTTTAAAGTCAGTTGTTAAACGAAGATATCAGGGGTTCATTTGTTTAAACTAGACTGTAACAGGTTTTCGTCCAACTTCAATCATAAGTGATATACTGTTCATTGGTCCTCTAATAAAAAATTGCATTTAGGTAGAACCAAAGTATGGATCATTTGTTGGATTTTATGGCATTTATAACTTCACCACTGATAGTAACACTTAAAACATAGTTTAGGAGAGCATCAGGCTTTCACAGTCTAGGAAGAATAATATCGTCAACTTTCTGCATATATATATATATACTGAAGGAATAGCTATCGCTTGGAAATACATCACTAACGAACGTGAATAGTCGAATATACTGTTCACCGTTGGTCAACATCACTTGAAAGTTTTCCTCTACTTTGATTATCTTTTTATATAATATCGAATACGTCCAGTTAGCCACTTGATTGTGCAGTCGAGTGAATTTTAATTCACTTGGTATTGTTTTACTTGAATCTTCCCATTGATGTTTAGGACTGAAGTTGATCAATCAATTATTGGCATATGTGCATACTGTGTGTATTGCCTCTATATTGCCTTAATTTACAAAGATCATAAGCAAAGATGGATAGTGGCTAGCAGTGGAATCCAGGACTCGCTTCCTTTCGGTTATCAGGACTCAGTAGCTAAGTGGATAACGCGATGGCGTTTGAAGCGAACGGTACTGGGTTCGAGTCCCAAAGTGAACATTAACTCCGAGATGCAGGTACATCCAGGTGACGAGTCCCAAATGGGACGAAACGCGCGTCCTGGATTTCACTGCTAGCCACTATCCATCATTGCTTATGTCAGTGTATACAGTTTGGTGTTAATCCTGGAGAACTTATATAAAAGATGAGACAATGAAATATTAGCAAGGTGATCTTTGTGGTGAAATATGGCCTCTCAACCTGTGGAAATATTCCAGCTTACACAATGAAAACTGCAAAAACACATTCTAGAGGAAATTATTATCGTATTTCCACAAAGGAGTATCAACGTTTGTTCTCTTCTTCTTCTTGTTATTATTATTATTATTAATCTAAGCGTAAGTTATGGTCATAATTCATGTATTTTTATTTAATTCGAAATAGGAATCATTCTTCCATTGGACTTTCGGTGTTCTCGAACCAGATTGTTATGGGACAATTGAAGTGGCTACTGGACGTTCTACACTTTTTATCCCAAAAATACCAGAAGAAGCTACTATATACGACGGTGAATTAGCTTCGCTTGAACAATTTTCAAAAAAATACAATGTAGATGAAACTCACTATACAGATGAGGTAATCTTGCTGGAAAATGTTTTGCAGAATTATTTTTAAGAAATTTTCATTAACATAAGAGATTTATGTTTAATTTTTAATTCATATCACAGACCGACTTTGGCAGATTGACTCAAGTTTGTAATATAAACTAATTTGTTGATCTATAGGCAAAATGCACTTACTAAACGAGACCCGATGTTTACTGGACTCCATCTATGGGGATTTAGTGGGTACCCATTATGCCTTGGATGAGTTCCATATTAGAAGTAAATAGATGTCTAGCTAAAAGCACTTAGTGTTATTCATTGTAAAGGATATCGATCAAGATAAATTCATTTACTGTGAATTAAAACGAATTATTCAAGATTATCTATAAAAGTGAGTAGAACAACGAAGAACTTAGTTCATATTGCTTAGGTAACCTAGTTTTTATTAAAAATTTGATATTGTTGTATTTTTACCAACTGATAATTCCTTTGTACTTGGTTGGGCGCTTACTACAAATTTCAAATATATGTCCACTTGTGGTCATCTAGTTATACCTGCCTTAAATTGCACTATTTCGGACATTCTTAGTCATCACACTAATTCGAACACTTCTAATCATCATGTTGGGGTTACAATTGAGTCGAATCTTAGACATTTGGATATTAATTTAAGTGAGGATGACTTTGAAGACTACATTGGTTCGGTTCGAAATGTGGTGCGTTACTAGAAAATATGTCAAAGATAATAAATTCACAGCTGATTTCTTGACGTTCATTGACAAAGAAGCTTATAGCCTGCTAAAGAATCTGGCTTTTCCAGAGAAACCATTTTCATTGTCATATGGATCTCTCAAGGGGTTACTAATTAATCATGTTAAGTGTGCTAGCCTTGAAAGAAGAAAGTGGTCAAAGTCTCATAAAATGATGCGAATAAATGATCAGAAAGTTGTAGACTCTATACTAGAACTACAGAAACAGGTTGCGGGTCGCTCTAACTCGCGTTTATTTAATAATAGTTTCCATTCTCGTGGAAATATGAAAATTGATTCAGCAAAGAATTTCGAAGCAGGTTACAGAGTTGAGTACAGGAATGGGAAGTGCTTATCCTGTGGTAAACTTCACGTAATTCATGCATCCTTCGTCATGCCGAATTCTTTAAGTATGATAAAATGGGACACATCAAATCGGTCTGTAAAGCTACTGTTCATGTTGCCGCAAGTAATACTAAACTTTGTAGTTCGGATTCTATTAATTTTGGTGATTCTAATAATCATATACTATCCTTATTTACAACTTCCAGTAATTCACTTCATATTCAAAAACGATCATATTTGTCCAGTGGTGCTTTTCACGATTTTATTGTTGACACTGGTAGTATCAAATCTATCATGTCAGTTGGAAAGTTGATGTTATTAAATCCCTACGCTATAATTATGCCTACCAAAGTTTATTTTGATTATTACTGGTCATAAACTTCCTATTCTTCGGTGTTGTAATTTACTGATTAGGGGCGGCAAATCTTAAATCCTAAATTGTGAATTCCTCATCACTGACTGTGAACCGTCTATCCTGGGTCTAGAACATTTGATAATACCTCAAAGTCAGTTTTGCTTATTGACCAGTAAAGACAGTTCTGATGAAAAGCTTGATAACTTGTTAACTATGGAATCGAAGTGCCAAGAATTACGCACAATTTTGAAGCCCTCTTATTTTGATGCTCAAGAAAGAAATGTCAAGATCTTGAAAACATAGATCAATTTTATTACTGCTGCAAAATTCAAAGACCCGGAGAGGAGAGGAGATAAAGTTCTTCAGTGCGGAATCACCAGACCGTATGCAAAATAAACAATCATGAAATCGCTTAAACAAGAAAATCTTCGTACAATAACTGGTTTTCCACAAGCTACGAAAGGTCTGCTAAAAGTGGTTGATAAATCTATGGTTTGCGAACCAGTCACAACAACCAAATACGTTACAATGACTTAGGTGATTCTGTTGTTAATTCTAAAACTAATGAGTGCATTCTAGACCATACAAAGTCTATCCAATATACATCCAAAGAGATAAATGATGAATCTAAGGAGAAGTATAATCGATTACGAAAATTTGGATTCCCATTTAAGCTGTAGCGACTGTGGCATTTGTACAAACTAATGATTCTTTTTGTATCTGATTGCCCTCTGGTTAAAAATTACATATAAAATACGTTTATTCGTGTTCAACTAGTTCTACCTGCCTTAAATTGTACTTTTCCGGGAATTCTTAGCACGTTAATTAGAGTACTTCTTATTACCATAGGTATCCAAATAGCAATTATTATCTTTTGAACAAGAGTTGGATTCTGTACAACTTAATAGTATATTATATAAAACCTTGGTACTTAACAGTTTTGAGTTACAACTATCAGAAAGGTTGTCGATACATTGTTCTGTAAGTAAATCCAACTGACAAGTCACTGCCAAAAATAAGATGAAACAGATATTTCCATCATGAACTTTGTTGTCAAGTACAAAACGGCCGAAGCAGACTTGTAAATAGATGATATAGATATGAATTAACAAAAACACAGAGATATAGAATTATGCAGTGGTTAAGATTTAAGTAAGTAT